GTAATATGGATTGATAACATTCATGTGGTACCATTTGTCAGCTATTACAGTCTTCTATTTTTGTATACAAGCACCACATGTGTGCAAAGCATATTTGAGCCTCAAGTTGTGTTGGTGAGGTTTAGATTGTATATCAGGTAGAAGTTCTTTGTGGAAATAGTAGTTAGGCATTGGAACATGAAGGAGGCAGAGTCGCCATCCCGGGAGGTATTGTGGATGGTGGTGTGGAGGATGTGTGAAGTGGTGCTTAAGGACACTGCTTAGTGGTGGAATTGTAGTGTTAGGTGAATAGTTGTAACTGATGATCTTAAAGGCCTTTTCCAATCTCAATGATTCTGTGATTCTGTAGGTTAAAATGGCATGAAGAAATAGTTTGCAATATTAATCGTTCAGTTTTGCTTTGCTTTTTGACCACAGGTAGACTCTGCAAAGAAACAATATAATGTGCAGATCTCTCAATTAACAGAAGAACTTTTAGCTCTTCATATGGTACGGTATGGTTGACTTTTGAGAATGTTTGCACTAGCAAAACATTTGAGACTTTAGTTAGTCAAGTTGAATATTTAATTAAATATAAAAATGAGTCAAGTAAAATCCTACATAATATTATTAGCAGTTTGGTGAAGAGAGGTTCTTCGTTTTAGACGAAGAGGTTTAATATACTTTCTTTAGACTTGTGTTTCTCTTTATTGTTAAATAGAAGTTACTGGTGATTAGTTGCAAATAAGCAATCATAGTGTTTTTCTTTTGTAATTTTAAAATGCTTTTTATGTGCATACACGGGTCAATTACGGTATACTTGGGATATTTTATCTTGGCCCCTTCGAGAGGTTTTACTAGAATTGCTTTGTTTACAGTGTTTTCTGTAAGGAATTGTGTCTAAGTTTGTATTATGGCCAGTAGAAATATTTTTGACTGCACAAGAAACTTTCATTTCAGCCCCAGCAGTCTAACAGTTTGCCTGCACACACGGTGTGCTAACAGGCACCGATGCTGCGTAGCCCTGGTGTTTCAGTCACACTTAGAAGATACAAGTATGTGATACTTGTACAAGTTGCAACTTCCCTACAGCTGGCAATTCTGATGTCTCCTACCTGTCTGCATTTGCCATAAGGCTAAGGCAAAGAAATGAGGGCAAATAAGCAGATGTATGGAATAGAACTGATACTGTTTTTAGTTCTCTGCAAATAGGTAACTAGTGAGCTAGATCCTACCCTCGGTCTCTTGTGCTGTCAGGGGAAGGGGAGCGAGCTAGACTTTAATGCACCTGTGTAGGTCCTGTAGGATCTACTATAGGGCCTCATATAGCTCCAATAGATCCTACTATAGCTCTGGATCTGTACCAGGTCTTCACAGATGCCTGTTTGCAGACAGCTTGTTACTGCTGTGTAACAATTTCCAGTATAGAGCGTCTTCACATCTCTTTTGTACAGCTTAGTTTGCATAAGGGACAACGAGCAGCGAAAGTAGATGGTAGCAGTGTGTGGAACTTTTATCATGAGTTGTTTATATATATGAAATATGAATGAGAAGTTTGTTTGAATGACTTTTTGAAATAGGAATGCGGTGAAAAGCAGGGTCAAATAGAGCGAGCCATTAGAGAAAAGCGAGCAGTGGAAGAAGAGCTTGAAAAGGTAAGGCAATGTGTGCCCTTTACATCATGTTTAAGATATACCCTCAGTATGAAAAAGTCTTCATCTTATTTTATTCTCACTTCCCATGTTTTTCCCTAGCACTAGAATGAAGGATTATCCTATGATCTTTAATTTCCTTATTTGTTGAGTTGATTTTCAGAACATTTAATGTGCGTGTCAGTACTTTAAGTTTTAATCCGGGAAATTTGAGTTTTAATAGTAAACTGAAAAAGAGCATTCTTTGGGAAGCGTAAAAAGTAAAAGGAGATGTTGGACATGATCTAAAAGCACACTGGTACATGTTCCAAATCAAACTTCAGCACAGCATGCTGAAAACTAAATGAAAGCAGGATCTTGGAATACCTTTTTAGAAGCAGCACCCAAATTCAGTTATAGTCAGTTTTGTTTTAAATCCCTGGAACTAGGACACAGTGAGGAGTAGCCTCTTTAATCATTACTATTGTGCCACTGTGTCAGTAACCAGTGAAAGGTAAAGATGATCTGGCATGAAATTGTATTCTTCAGATTTGCAGAGAATACGGAGGACATGAATCTGACAACAGAAAACTAGAGCAACTGCATCAGAAATATCTACTTGCAGAGACTACCAAATGCGACCTTCAGCTGAGTCTGCAGACAACACAACATAAACTGAAACTGCTGGAAATGAAGTAAGTAGTGGACTATAACTCACTGTCGAAGTAAAGGGGGGCAGCAGACCACAGAATGAAAGCTTTCCTTTACAGAATGAGAACTGCAAGCAGTTACTCAAATTTTCATTGTTTTCATAAATTGCATTGTTTGAAATCTTGCCATGTGTCTAAATACTGTTTCTAGGAAAGGCCATTTCTGCCTGAAATACTCATGCAGAAATTATTCCTCTATAAAGTCATCTACAGTGTGGTATCTCCTAGTATACACATATTAGTCCATGTTACATAGCATACTTAATCTCAGGTCTGTGTTCAGAGGTAACAGATGTTATTGCAGTTTCAGTAGTATAATGGTACAAAGTGCAATGTGATGCACATCTTTAGATCAGGTTATTCTCAGAATGAAAAGCCTAGGGTTTGTTTGTTTTTTTTTCTTTAGGCGCTTATGCCATTTATGTATTCAGTTTGTAAACCCTATCTATTGTACAGAACAATCACTTAGGAATCTGGAATTGTTATTAAAATGAAAAGCTGCTCTTTCACAGTGCTATTTTCCTGAGATGGATAGAGTGTTGGGTTGCTTTCATGAATTCCCTAGGCTTGATAAAATACTTCACTGACTTGTGCATAATCCTGCAAACTTCCAGAAAGAGCAGGGGAACGTGTGTGTGTCTTGAGTCACACCAAAGATCTGTCCCAAATATATGAGGGCTGCTCCAAAAGTAATGCCACATGTTTCACTGTGTTGACCCATGATGGCAGAGGTGTCTGGTGGTGGTATGGCAGTAGAGATAGTAAGAAAATACTGGTGGAAACATTCCTGTTGTTGCCGTGCTGTAGATGGTGGCAGAAGGGCAGTCTGGTCTGACAACATGGCATCTGATGAAGCAAAAGTGACCGAATTCCTCCATGTGGAAAGCATAGCTCCCATTGACATTCATTAACACTTGCTGAATGTTTATGGAGCCCAAACAGCGGATGTGAGCACAGTGAGGCAGTGGGTGGTGCATCTCAGCAACAGCACTAGCAACAGTGGGTCACCTCCACAGGTACAGACTTGTGTTGGCGTGGCATGCAGGCTCTTGTTCGTGGCTGGCAGGAATGCACAGCTAGGGGTGGTGCCTATGCTGAAAAAATAGAGCATATTCTTCGCTACAGAACACTATCAGTGTTATTGTTGTCTTTGTATCTGTTGTAGTATCCATGGAAATAAATGGGAGGCATTACTTTCAGAGTAACCTACGTATATATCTTCTCCAGTACTGTCCAAAAAGTAACCTATAGAAAAACTGAACGCTAGAGCAAGCTGACAGCGACGCATCATTGGCATGTTTGCACTGCTTAAAAACACACAATGCCACATCTGGATGTTTGTTTTTTTAATTATTGCTCTTACTGTTACATGGATTACTTCAGTCTCAGTAAAATCTTCTCCTCTACAGCATAGTGTGGCAGTGAGTTCCATACCTGAAATACAACATATGAATACATATGAATAATTATATATACGTATTCATATGTATATACATATATATAACTATATATGCAATATATAGACAATACATATGAAAAACTTGGTTTTTCTGTTTTGAGTTGGCCTCTATTGCCACTAAAGGAAGCAATCACAAGGCAATATCTTACTAGACTAGCTGATCTATTAAGATTTTGTTCCTGTGCACAGATATAGTCTCCCCTATCTCCAAACCATCACAGCTTCAGCAAAGCGACAGAAGGAAAATGTAAAATTGGCTAAATTCGTGACTTTAAAGAAGAGTCTCTTTCAGCTTTGAGGAAGAGAAATCTAATTACCAGAAGAATATCTGTAACTTGCAAAGCATTCTGGATTCAGAAAGAGAAAAGAGCGGCTCCATCGGTGAGCAAAGGTTAAAGCTTCAGCAAGAGAATGAACAACTGCAAAAAGAAATTGAAAGCTTGAAAAAAGCGTCCTCAGAGGCACAGCAAAAAGCCAAAATAAAGGTATGATTTTGTAACACTCTAATGCAATGGAAAGTACAGTAGTGATAGCAGGGTAGCTATCACTAGTCCTAGGCTACAGCAAGTGAGGATATGCTCAAATGCAGCAGCTATAGATGCAGAAACAAAAGATAAAATGTGCTTTCCCTTGGAAGGTCTCAGGTGGGCAGGGATATCCACCAAGACATCCTTGCCTCCACTGCCAGCCCTTAAATGAGGTCTGGGAAGTCACTCAGGTATTTTGCATGTACCCGAGCTGCCCTGGTTTGGCCCTGCCTTCCCACCGTGTGCTCAATCACTGGTTCAAGCTGTGTCTTAACATTTCTGGTACAGGTTTATATGCTGTTTTTAAGGCTGATGTTTGCTTAATAAGACAGCATTTCTAGGAAAAAATATTTGGAAGTTTAATTTGAGGGCGAAAGTTTCAATGATGCTTGCTCTTTTTTCCTTTGTAAATAGTTTTGTTTCAGCGTTGTGTGTCCTCAAGATTTATTTAGTAGCCCAGACTCTGCTGACTGTGCTTGTTAAGACGATCCCAAGTATTCTATCTTATTTCACAGGAGGAGTAGTCCAAATGGTAAAAAATTTTCTCCAACTGATCTCACTTAGTCTAATTCTAGATCTCCATTAATCTGCTGTCTGTATTAGGAATCTCTGCACAACTTTCAGTACAGCGTTCCTCTACTTAAGTGTCCACTGCATTATCAGAGCAGCGTGCGGCTAACAAATAATGCAGTAGTGTGGTTATCAAACACTGCTGCTGCACGTTCTGGAAAAGAATGTTTTTCAGTGCCAATAGTTGCAAACGAAGACATTTAGCGGAAAGACAGATCTTGTTTGTGAAGGGTTCCCTTAAATGCACCTGAGCAGACTGCATTATGGGATAATGGAATAGTAGGTAACTTTATCAGATTCACGCACCTTTGCCTTCTGAGAGGAATAATAGCTTTGGTCCTTGCTGTGCTTTCTAAATATCTACAGCAAAGAAGATTTCAGAAGCAGTGTTACTAATTATGAATGAGGAGCAGCTCATCCAGCCAGCTCTCTATACTTCAAGACAAAAGAAGTCATATTAAACAAGAAATCTCGTTCCAACCGTAGAACCCTTTGTTCAAGCTTAACAAATACGTAGCCGTTCAAAAGCACGTACCAGAATTCTGCATGCCCTTATTCAGACAGGATACCATCAGTCACAGATGAGAGCTGTGGCTTGCCTCCATTTTCCTCTGATGCGTTTAAGATGCGATCAGGAAAGTCCTGATGGATTTTGACTGGGTGAAAAAGAAAAATGTGTTTCTGTAGGGAAAAGGCAGAAGTGATAAAGATTATTTTCTATTGCCATTGCACAATTTGCTCCCCATGTCTTTGGGAATAAGTGTCCATTTGAGCATATAATTACAAGTTTCATGCTTTCCACAAATGTTTATAAATGTAGTTCAAATGTATTTAAAAAAAAAGACTTGATTGTATCCTGTTTGTTTTTTTTAATGTAGATAAGCAGTATGGAGCACGAGCATGCTGTGAGAGAACGTGGATACGAAGTTCGTCTTAAGGAAATGGAAGACATCAGTCAGAAGTCGGCTGCTGAGCTTAGACGTCTGTTGACAGCTCAGCAAAAAGCAACAAATAGATGGAAAGAGGAAACAAAAGTGCTTACTGAAACTACAGAAGCTAGGATCAGTAAGTTAAAGTAAGTGCAATTTTGTTGTTGCTCTTCTGGCTGCTGTTACTGTATCAGTTGCTGTTTGGAGCAAGGGTGTACTCAGTAGAAAAGGAAGGAGAGCAGCCAATGGAATAGATCATGTGCTTCCAGCAAATAAGAAGCAATGTTCTCTTGAGAACCCTCCGACGTGACTCATAATGAAGCTTCCAGCTATTAACTGGCATTAAAATTTTGCATCTTGTTAACATGTGTGAATCTTGTTACAACAGAAAGTCAATTGGAATATCATCTTTCCATTTTTTTTTTCTTTCAGAAAAACGCTCTCAGTTTAGAAAAACATAGCTTTGTATCATGAAGACTCCTGTCTTCATAATTATTCAGAACAGTCTTTATGAAAGTAAGCATGAAATAAACTTCTAGTTTTGTAAGTTGGAAAAAATGTTTGTAGAGGCACATGTTGTGTTCTTTTTGAGCATTTGCTCAAAAATTAATGAGGGTACAAATGAGTTACGTGATTGCCTTGAGCACAAATGCGGTACAAACTTTGATCTTTATTTGTGCTGGTTGCCAGGTAACTGGCTCATATTCCTAACACTGCTTATGTATCTTCATTTTTATAGCAGCTAGTCCAAAGATGTTGAACTGGTTTTTGGGTTTGGTTTGGTTTTGTTTTTTAATGGTATCTATCTATGGATTGGTTAAAGAGAAGAAGGGAATGGAAACCACCAATGAGTTGTACTGCAGCCTTATATTAACAGGCATTTTGAGTTCCATATAGCAGTTTTCAGACAAACGTATATGAAATAAATACTAAGGTTAAAAGGGTTTTGTATTTTTGTTTTTGTTAAGATTAAATGTTTTCTTTTCCATTTTCTTCTGATTAATAGGAGTGATCTGAGTCAACAAAAACTTTGTAATCAGGAACTTATTGCTCAGCTGGAACTGGCAAACAATAAAGTAATTGAGGTAAGAATGATAGGACAATGGCTTTCAGTTACAACCTGATGGAAATACACTAGGATGCTAACATGAAGCCCATTGAGTATGTTTCTGATTTAAAAACAAACAAACAAACAACAAAACTTTATAAAGAAGGATATTTGACAGAGGAGAAGACCTAGCAGGAAAACACAACTGCTTTTGATGACTGTCATTCAAATAGAAAAAAGGCATTAATTTTGCTGTCAAATTATTGGAGAAGGCAAAGGAGAGATCATTACTGATTACTGATTAGATTACTAATGTGGCAATTTTAGGCAGTTTAGGAGATGTTTGCAAAAACATGCCTTCGTACACATGCATACCTTTAAAAAGGAGGAGGTGTTGTGCTGTGGATAATGTGGCACTGGTAGAGAGGAGTTTTTCAGCATATACAGAAGAGTTGACGCTGCCTGTGCGCATCCCAGTATATGGATAAAAGCAATACCTATTAAAAATTAAGAGCATTGCTGTTTTGGAATATGCATTGTTCAACAATTAAAGGTCACTTCAGAAAACAGCTGTGCGTCCAGCCTGCCTCATAATTCTGGGATGATAACCAATTCTGTACAGGAGAAATCCTTGCATTATTTTTTGTAGCGCTCTGTTGTTTGCGGGAGAAAAACCAGGACGATGTGAGAACAGGTTTCAGAAACTGATGCTAAAGAATAGTGAAGACTTCATACATGGCATGTGGTGAGGAGAAGCTATCTGTAACACAATCATATGATTATTATCTACTATACTCTTCACCCCTTTGAATATAGCTAAAATATTTGTACTGCACTGTTGTGTAAGTTAAATTACCTGCATTAAAATATCGTCTTTTACGCATCTTACTTCAGGAAGGTGAATCTTCCTCTGAAGATGACTGTGACTGGGGAAGTCGTATGATTCATATTAGAGCTGGAAGTTCTTTATAATGTGTCAGCACTGTGCTTTCAGTCTTACTGTAGGTGGTAAACAGCTCTGTTTGTTAAGGTCCTCTTGCTGTAAGCTCTTTACTACACTACGGATGGATCCAGAGAAGAGAACTTCATACTTGTAACAAGATGCTTCATTTACACAGGATGAAAAATTAATGACGGAATATCAGAAACATATCAATAGGCTTCAGATGAGACTGAGCCAGGCAGAACAGAGGGCAGCTACAGCATCACAAAAGGTACAACGCCGTAAGAAAAAGCGCCATCGAAGCGCATACAAAAATCCCACTGAATGTGAGAAAAGTGCTCACGTGGTGTTATTCCTGAGGCAGAGGTGATCACATACGCGTGCAGCATTGCCACTGTAATTTGAACAGCAGTCTTGTGTCTTGAATGTGTCATCAGCAAACTGGTGCGTGTTTGATTAAATGCCACTTTGTGAAAGCACGATGAGCTGACAGCACAGATCTGTTTATGAGAACAAAGTGGGTGCGAATTACGCTCGCAGTTCAAAGTGTGGCAATGAAGGTGGATCACAATTTCTATATTCAGAATATTTTCTTAAAGAAGTCGTTGCAGCTCTTGCTTACGAGCTTCATTAGCTTGGTGTAGCCTACTGCAGTGATGACAAAGAGCAAACGTGCTGATTCCGACCCGTCTCCTGGAGAGCGTTCATGGAAGTGTGTCAGATTCCAGTCAGTGCTGCTTCCGTTCACTGTCTTGATGTATGTCCCACTAAACGCTGACTGAGCATTTCTGAAGAGCAAGCAGCCAGAGGCAAGGCAGGGAGGACCCCTGAAAGGTGCCAGGGAGAATAAAACCGAGGCTAACTGAGGGTTCTCAGATTGACAAAGATGACTTATTCAGTGTTGCATTATTGCACAGCATAGCTTGGGCAGCATATTGATAAGAAAGACAATGATGGTAGTAGCGAACTAAACTACTAAAATTACCAGTCCTTAGCTGAAAGACTATAAATCATAGCCTATTAATAATAGTGATTCAATGAAAAAAAATTACAAATACAGAATAATGTTTGTTGTACAGAATAATGTAAAGTTTTAAAATGCACGTATTCTCTGTAAATAACTTCCAAGTACTCCTGCTACTCTTTTTTCATCTGGAAATCTTTGACATCTGAAATAAGATGCAAGAATTAATTACCTACAGAATGCATTGTGAATTCTACTATTTACCCCAAATTCCCACTTGTCTCACCTTTTCCCTCTCGTTCATGACATTTTCTGTATTGAAGCTGTACTGTTGTTTCAATCTTAGTTTAAAAAAAAAAATTAAGAAAATATCTGCTTCTTTTAAACTGCAGCTCACCACATTAACTACATGGAAGAGAAAGGCTACTTCTCTGAAGGAACTAGAAAATTTTTAAGATGAAACATCAATAATATTCACACCACAGCGGAGGTAAGAAGGTAGCTGGAGAAACTCGGCATTGTACCATTAAAATCAAATGCATAGCAAGGTTTGTAAAACTTCATCTATACATTTTATGTTTCACTCAGGTAACAAAGAAGGCTGGCTGAAGATCCATACTGTCTCTGTTTCCGTGGCGGAGACCAGAAGAATGCAAACTGATGTAATTCAAGTCCTTTAATGCAGTAGACGAAACAGTCTGATACAGTGCTGTGGCGTGTTTCAGTCTTAAAAAAAGAAACTGTGCAGTTTCAGTCTTGAAAAAGAAACTTGTTACGTCCAACTGTGACAAAATTGTTTACAGGGAATAGAGTTGATTCTACTGAGATTGTGAAACAGCTTTGTTCATATACAGTTGGCATTTCTTTTCATTTTGTAGAGCAGTAACTTGGGAACACTTTCAAGATCTTACATGAATCGTAGTAAGACAGTAATAAACATCATGAATGTCAAACAGCTCTTATGATAGGAGCTACAACTGGGAAATGCCTCTATTGCCTTTCACTGTTAAGCATTCAGTTCAGTTTGCTACGTCTCTGGGAAACGGTGTTGCTACAGCTATTCTTCCAGCTAGTTTTCAAGGACCCTGACCTTTCTTCAGTTCCGCTGCTCCCTCCCCTCCCCCCATTACTGTTTTACAATTGTTCCTTGCTTTTCCGCTTGGAATTTCAGTTCTCAAATCAATTTGCACAAGGCTGGTCATCCGGCTTGGATGAGCATGTTGGAATTCTACAAATGCCAGCATGTGGGAATCCTTAATAGCTGAGAAACTTCATATGCATTACTCTAAATTCATAGATTAATTCTGTTTTCTATTTCACTATATATAATAAACATTTTATATGTGTAGCTACTTTTGACCGATTTTGCACTAAGTTTACTTCTGATTTCTCTTAAATATGAAGAGCACGATTTTGTTGTAAGACTTCTAATCCAGCTGATAGATAACGCTTATCCTCCTTACCCAGTGCTTGTTGAAAAGTGTTGTTATGGGCAAACACAGTTCAGGAGTCTGTCAGACCATCCCCATTGCATTTGCATTTTAGAGAACAAACACAAGTTGATCACCAGATAGAAGCAGGTTTGTGGCACCTCCCGAAAAGCTTGCTTGTCTATTAAAGAAGAGCCTGCAGCACGGAGGCAACCTGAAGGAAAAATTCTGCTTACCTCAGAGGAGTTCACTGTTTCTACAATTGCACATGCACCAGCACATTGCTCACAACCTGGCTGTTGGGAGGTGAGGTGCTAGCTGCAACAATCAAGACTTGAGATTTGCTGTTTAGATGAGTTTTACGCTTTCCCTTGTGATACCGGATTACTTGGTGAAATTGAACAGTGGTCTTTTTGAACATCCCTACTAACCCTTGTTGATCCAGGATTGGTTGTGACACCAAACAACAGCCAAACCAAAGAAAGTGAGGCCGTGTCCCATTCCATGACCTGACCCTTTCTCAGGCATTATCCTGGACCTTCCCAGGAGTGCTTGAGACACGAGTCAAAATACGGGAAGGGACATCCTACCCCTCCCTGTAGCTTAATTGTCTCTCCGTGTCGTCCAGGCTCACAGTAACACTGAGTCACTTGGGCCTCATGCCTTTCAGCAGAGGAGGTGAAAGGCCGCAGACAAATAGTGGTGATCAGTGGTTCTATGTCCAGGCAGAGGCCAGTAATAAGCAGTGTCCTGCAGAAGGCTGTCTTGGGACCAGTGCTCTTTGACATCTTTATCAGTGACATCCATAATGGAATGAAGTGCACCCTCAGCAAGTCTGCTGCTGACACCGAGCTGAGCGGCATGGTGGACACAGTGGAAGGAAGGGCTGCCATTCAGAAGGACCTCAGCAGACTCAAAGGGTGGGGCCGGGTGAACCTAAAGAGGTTCAACACAGCAAAATGCAAGGTTTTGCACCTGGGCCAGAGCAATCCCAGGCATCCATAACGACTGCGAAGAGCAGCCCTGCAGACAAGGACCTGATGAACCTGATGGATGAAAAACTTGACGTGAGCCAGCAGTGTGCTCTTGCAGCTTGGAAAGGAAATGGTATCCTGGGCTCCATCAGAAGAGGGGAAGATGCCACATTAACTGTGTTGAGTGGCTGTTTCTCTGGGCTGAAGTGAAGCACATTTTTTTTAAATATGAAAGGGGGGAAAACAAAAGAAACAAAACTTTAAAAAGCAAATACAGCAAACAAAATCCCTATGTCCACCATCTGGACATCCCGATTGCAAGAATGCAGCCAAAATATGGCACTTGTGCAGAGGCTAAAGCAGGCGCCCAGGCTGCTCTTGGACCCAACATGTGCCATAGCAGCACAGATGATCCGTGCCTGTATTGCTGAGTCCTTGGCCACTGCTGTCCAACTCATGCATTGCTTGTACGGTACTGACCTGGGGAATGGGGAATGCAGAATTTTAACTTTTTTTCTATCAGGTTGATAGAAAATTTATTCCACTGTTAACTCAGCTTCATACTGCTTCAAGCAGGCTCATGGTACTAGAATTAAGCAGGACTTCTCTATTTTATTCCAAAGCCTTGTTAACTCCAATTGCTGCCCTAGAACTTTACTTGCAAATCAGCAGGTAGGCTCTATTTGATGAACGGATGCAAACCTTTGAAGTCTTTTCTTAAAGCTGGAGTTCTTGCTTGCGTGTTTTTCAGACAGATGGTGTTGTCATCGGTGTTGGTGGAGATCTACAGCTTGAGAAAGGACAACTCAAGAAAGACGAAGCCAAGCTTCAGGCAGACTTAAATGATGAAGGCCTGGGAAAATCACCTGGTGAAGGATCTGTGTTCACAGCAAGAGGTTACAGTCTGAGTTGCACTTATGTGTTTCATGCTGTCACACCTCGATGGTCAGAGGGAAGTGAATCTGCAGTGAAGGTAGAGGAGTTTTTATTTACTTAAACTCTTAATTTGAATGGGCTTTACGGAAGATTTGACGCAACTTCTTTGAAATGAGGGAGGCTGTCGTAGGAGATGAGCGAGTTTGGGCTATTTTTTTAGCTGTGTTGCTCGCACCTTGTTGACTGTTGTGTTCTTTCTGATGCGTGTGAGATGATGCTAAGAGATAGTACTTTCCCTTTTTGCTGAATTGCACCTTCTGGAAAAAGTAACTTTCAGTAGTGGAAAAAATAGTTGTGCTTTACAGGTCGTGGGCAGACTCGCCGCAAAATGCCTGCAGACTGCTGAGGAACTATCTTTAAAGTCCACTGCTTTCCTAGGGATTGGAACAGGGATCTTAGGGTTCCCATGTTCCGTCGTTGCTAACTGGCTGTTTGGCAAGGTATATGAATTCGTTAGTAAAAAGAAAACCAGTTCTCTTCGGGAGGTTCACTTTCTGTTGCATCCAAAAGACGTAAAAATGTCCAGGTGAGTCACCATGCTTTTCTCTCTCAATTACCTGCTATTCTGTTTGGGCCTATCTCGTGGTATATGGCTATGTGTTGTTCTCCAGAGAACCTGCAGGCTGCTTGTTATCATATAAAGCGTAGAGCCGTTTGCTGGCAGACTCTTTTGCACGTGGCTTGTCCTGTGCAGCCCCGCTTGTTTCCTGTCCTTTTCTATTCCCTGGCAATAATGCAGATGAAAGCGTAATTAATGTTTTATCTTGTGAACTTGCTTGATTCTTCCATACGTAAGGCTCATCTACGGATGGACTTGCTGCAACTTCTGCATAGATGTCTTCACTCTTGGAAAAGGAATACTCTCCATGGGTTTAGATGAAGTCTGTGAAGAATAATTACGTTAGGATTGCATGCGGGTAAAATTGCCCAGTGCAAAACAGATCGGTGTTCTGCATCCCGCTTTTTTTCAGTGTCACTTTAGAAGGGGTTTCTGTGCTTTCACTGAACTTATTACAAAGGTTGACTGTAGTTTCCTTTTCTAGGCGTTTTCAAATGAATGTGAGAGACGGTGCAGCAGTGATGTAGACGAGGCTAGCGAAGGCACAGCTAAGTTTATTTTCTAGAGGCTACGTTCATGGTGGTGTAGGGTTTTCTATTATTATTGGTATTCGTAGTATTACTGGCTAGTAAATTTTCCAGGTAGCGTATTCATGATAGATACTTAGATACGTGGTGAACATGCTGTTCCCAAAGTCCAAGTGGATGTTGTAAAGGCAGTCCGTAGTATGTATGAGCATAACATCTGAAACAGTGCTGGAGATACCAAGGAAAAAACATTCTTGTGATTCATTATCTGGATGTAGCATCCACGCGGTAAGGAAGCAGAAGGCAGAAGCGAGGTTCTTTTCTTTTCCTGATGTAGTCTTCCCTTATCTCCCAGGAAGAACCGGTCAGTTCCCGCTTATGTGTCTTAACGGGGCCTCTTTGCAATGCTCTCAGAGCTACATTCAGATCAACAGCAAAACCACCCTGAAATGTCATCAGTGCTGTCCAGTTGAGTGGGACTGCAGAGTGTGGAAAATGAGTATTTGTTGAAAACTCGATCAAGTTTTTAGAAATAATGCGTAGACAAAAAGTTGCTGTCACGCAGTTGAGAACGTGCCCCAAAACTCCCTTCGAGACAGGAGCAAAGGAGCGAGATTTGCAAAGTGTGCTGCTGTCGTATCTCCGTGCTTCATGAAGGCTGATACAGATAAGCGTTGCCAAGAAATGTCTCTATAGCAGGAGTGTGGTAAAATGTGTTTGTTTTTTCCTACTATGTCAGCATAAATAGCAATGATGGGAGCAAGAGAAGGTTGGTCTGAGACCCCCATGAGAAGGAATGATTTTCAGTTACTGATGCGAGCAGTGTTCTCACAGGTAGAGCCTAGGGACGAACTGCGGTCTCAGCAGGCGTTGTACCCACGAATGCTCCTCTGCTCAGTGTCTGTATTTCTGTCCTACAGTTTTCTTTGGTTGCATTTCAAGCCCAGCACAGGACGTATATGAGATGACAATCGGCTCCATCAAGTTCCAGGTGGCCACTCATGATATTACCAAGGAAACTGGAGACGTCATTGTAAACATATCAAACAAAACTGTCAACCTCCAGACAGGTACTTCAGTTGGTATTACGTGTGGAAATAGTGTACGTGGTTGGGAGGAGTAGGTGAGGCGAGGGGAAAGCTTTCTTGTTATCCTGATCTACTGGATAATGTGTTTTAAGACTTGTAGAAAAGTGAAATTAATAACTTGAATTTTTCAATAGGATCTTTTCAGAGAACATCTCTTAGATTAAAGGAGTTGAACCTTATTGTGTTTTTTAGCTCAGTGAAACTTTTTAGGTTTCTCAAGATATCGTTTTGGACTTGAAAAGCATAAGCCTAAAATTTAAACAATACTAACTAATTATAACCTGTGCTTTTACCAAAAATGAGAGAGTATGGAATATCTGATTCTGCCTTAGACAGGACTTCAGTGGAATTCATCGTAGCAACCATGGAGTCATATGCTTCTTCTCCTTTTAGGCATCTCTAAAGCAATTTTGGAAGGTGCTGGGAAAGAGGTTGAAAATGAGTGTGCTGAACTAGGTCTGGTGCTACTTTTCTGTCCTTTTTGAAGGCTCGCATGCAGGACAGGGAGTTGTTTGGAATTCTTTCTCAGTGCCTACTGTACACCTATCTGTCCTATGCGCTGTGTTACATCAACTAGTCTTTAATCGGTTATTGCGATGCACGTAAAACATCTAACAAGGAAAGAAAGAGGTGTTTTCAAGACAAGAGAGCATCTAAGCTTTTGTAAAAGGCAAGATGATTGCATCCTCTAATTCCAGTACAGCTTTTGAGGGATATTGACAAGTCCACAGAGAATACAGCTGTGAGCTGGGGGTGATGTTCACAGAAGTCTTAATAGAGAAGCTGTGTTTCACTGGGAATAACTCCCTACCTGCAAGTTCTTTTCTTATCCCCAAGTGAAAAAATGTTTGCCACTGTCTTCAATAGCAACCCACCACTGTACCCTCTGCATGACTAAGAGGGAAAATCTTTGCATCTGGGTTCCTGCCTTAAAAGAGGCATTTGTAGACCAAATTGAGCTAGTGAATGGCAAATACATTGGATGGGGAGTAAGGATGGAGAAGCGTTTGGCTTAAAAGAAGCATTGGCTTAAAAGCCTGTTTGCAGGCTTCCCTTATTTTGATAACAGAAGTGAGAAGGTCTCTGGTCAGCTGGAGGTCAGCTTACAAGTCCAACGAAAGGGAAGAATTACATGGAGGAGACAGGCAGTCTCGTGTTAAGACTGACTGCAGTACTCGGTCTGCATGAAGTGTTCTACATCTGCGGAGCAAACTTTGAAAAGGAAGGCACACAAAACTGTATTTGGCAAACAAGACAAACAGCTCACAATCATAAAATGATCCCAGAAAGTAAAAATAAAGAGAGGGAGTATTTATCAGCATGGGGAAAGAGACTTGGAGCTTATCCTGGGCTGTACTCGTCATCGTTTCTTATCTCCCAATGACAATTACTACATATATATGTCGTATATAATTGTTGATTGTTTATTCACTCCTGCTTACGTTTCAGCCTTGCAGCCTAATGATGGCTATATAACCACCAAAGGAGGAAGCTTGCCATGCCAAAAATAATCCATTTTGTCGCCCAAGATGACATGAAAGTGCCAGTCTCCAAAGTGCTTCAGGAATGTGAATTACAGCAGTACGCCTCTGTTAGCTCCCCAGCGGTTGGAGCAGGTTTGTCTCTTCTTTTTGAACTGGTTCGGTCCGTGCAATTCTGCAGATCTCAGAGCTGAAAGAATTAGCTTGTCTGGAAGGGTAGTTCTTTAATGAAAATATATTCAGCAACTACAGACTTCAAAACCATCACTGGAAACTTATGAAGAGACTGGAAACTTCATCTTTGCAGTTAGGTAGCAGGTGATGAGTACGAGTGCTCTAAAGCTGACTCTTTCTCGATAACAGGGGTTCCAATTTATTTATAATATATGCATACGTTTATGAAGAACCTTAAATATTTTTACCACAGCATGATGTGTAAAGCAGCTCATTGGTTAAACCCAGGGAGCAAATTCTCTGTTGGTAAAATCAGTAGATGATGGAGTTCTGTCTAGCAGACACGCGAGCGGGTATGGAACGTGAACAGGGATGGAATGTGAACAGGTCAAAACTGTCACATCAGCCATTTTTGCCTCCGTGTTTTTTCATCAGGCCAGCAAAATTCTTTATATGTTCCTTATGTAAGTAAGAGAATTCAGATTTAGGGATTCAGCATGAAGAGGCCTCTTGCATGAATAAAACTAGAGCAGTTTTAGGAGTAAAGCGTTCCCTAGCGGCCTATTGAGAGCCGGTTCTCTGGCTGGTGGGGTAGGTACCCCGGCCGTATCATCAACATCATTGCCTCATCGGTTGCTGCATCAGCGAAAGTAAGCTTCCATTTCTAAATTGCCAACCTGAAGTTAGTTGAGTCGTTTGTGATCCATGTGATTACGGGAACGATCACAACTATTCTGTTAAACATGTTATAATCCTTTTCTAGACTGACTATCTGTAACTGGTTCCAGGTCAGGCAGGCTGTTTTCCGGACATAGTCACTGCTGAGATGATGGATGCAGAAACTGACTGCAAGGAGGAACTCTACTCCATCTGTGAAAACTATTAAATCTGTCATTTTTCAGTCGTGTCTGCTGAACGTGTTCCATACAAGCTTGAAAAAAAGAGAAAATCTTGGTAAAATAGAATCAAAATCACTTACTTCCAGGATGGTATGTAAGTACATATCACTTTTAAATAGAGGCAATGAATCCATCCGTTTTATGTTAAACATACTCAACTGGTGCTACTTGCAGCATTTGTGTCTCTCGTTGTAGCATTCCTGATCCCTGAGAAACATCCTCCGAAGGAAAAACGTAAAGCAGTTTCAGAAAATAAAGTTGATCGGGCTGTTATTCAGATTTGCAGTAAACACGAGAAACAAATGGAAGAAGCAGAAACCTGACCGAAAAGTACTATTCTGAAGGAACAATTTCAAAGAGAAAACAAGGGTGACTCCACCTTCGATTTGGATGAGACAGAAACTGCGGAACTGCGTGACCTACAGAAGAGATGAAATATTGCTCTGTTCTTGGGAGACAACTGTATTGGACTTACAGAATTTAGCAAGGTGTCTGGTTTGGTTATTCAAGTATCTGAGACACGATCCACAGGGTTAAAACTGCTGAATATGAAGCGATCAAGGCAGAACTTGATCAAAACTTAATTGAGTGGAAATATCTGAAAGAAGATTCCTACGTGTCCTTTGACAGTATGACAAATACGTGCATAGAAAGTGCTTTCATAAGAAAGCAGAAAGCTGTCTCAGTCGTCATTCACAAGACAAAGTACCTGGTGAATGTAGAAGGTGGATTTGCTACAGATGGGGAAGGACAGCGTATGGTGCTTGCACGTACTGATAAATCTGCAGGTTAGTAAAAGCATCTCGATAAGTCAGGTTGGTATTCACACACGAAGGTAGGTTGCATCCGGCTGAGTCGGAGTAATAGGAAGAATATGTAGAATATTGTGAGATGCTGTTTGTCTGTTTCTGGAGAAAGCGTTAGACTGGGAGATGACAATAACAGGATCGTGCAGTTAGGTAAAACTGTTGGAAATGTAGATAACGCCTTTAGAGGTTCTTAGCAGGCTTGCTAGCAATGATGAGACATGCTTGTAGCAGTTGTCCTTCTAAATCTTTTCTATTCTCCAGAGGGGCCCTCTTTATCTCAGCAATTTCCATTACAAAGAACTATCTTTCTCCTGCCCTTACAGGACTCTTCCCGGTGGGTTTCTTTTCTTCACCCTGCTGTCATTCCGTTTTACAGGGGCTCATTTTATATCTTACCGGGATCAATTTATATTCCATTTAACACTTGTAAACAGAAGTCATCAGGTTTAAGTAGTTGTGTGCCTCTCAGTGCCTCACATATTCCGTCAGCTGTTTGTTTATGTTTGCTTTATTACTGGACAAGTTGTTGCTTTTGAGAAGAGGACACCCTCTGGATTTGACGGAGCCTGACGTGCTAGGTGCGCTTAGGGAACGCATCAGCCACGGTTAGTGTTCAACAGCAGAGCTCAGTACGAAATCGGAGGAAGGAAGGAAGACCTCCGCTTTTCAGGTGAAGCGTGCGTTGCTGGAGCTCCAAACTCCATCCTCCTTTTTCAGATGCTCTGCTCCTAGTTGTTGAGAATTAAGTGTCTGTTCCCTCCCCAATATGGGCAGAAAGCAAACAAAGATGTTTCCCCTCCTCCAACGGTGAAGGAGAACCGATTTGTCTAGGAGCTACCATTCCAACACATCAGTGGTCAGTGCAACGACGATCTGTAAAATAAAGCATCTTACTCTTCTGGGTTTTGTTTCTTTGTTTTTAAAAGATAGGCTCTTGGCTGACTGTAAGTGAACAGGCAATAATGACAAGCTATAGTAAGTATAAGCTTTCAAAGGAGGAGGGCATATTTCACTTTAAGCAGCGGATTTGGGTAAATGATTGATGTGCTTCTTCCGCAGATCAGGAATCAACAGCACTGCCCGAAAAATGGGACGACATGCAAAATCAGCAGCTCAAAATAGTGGAATTGAAACCAGATGCAAAAGACTACAAACAAGCGAAGGAAAGGTTTCTGAAGACCGCTCCATCACTGAATCTGAAAATTGAAAAGGTAAAAGCATGTAATCATTTATAAGCATACATACAGCTAATGAATAACGACTGGTAAACAGTGGAAAAAATAAATTCCATTGGAATTTGTTGGACAGGTCTTTACAGCAAAAGAAAGGGACACAGTTTTTCCTAATTGACTTAAAGTTTGTGTGTGTGTTTGTGCGTGTATGTAAGTAACTATCTGAAAAGGTTGCACAAAACCATCAATAACCACCCAGTTGTCGAGTGCCTGTGATCCTCATGACCTTCAAACCTGGTGTAAAATATGTTGCATTCTGGGTTGGGTTCTGCTGTTTGCTGTGCTGAAATTTGGAGCCACGTGCCCAATGTATTTTATGATCTAGTGTCCACGTGTCGGTAGCTAGGAGGAGAATCTGGGACACTGAATGGTTGATACTCTGATGTTTTTCTTAACAAGAAAAACTGAATGTCTTATTTTTCAAACTTTGCAGATTGAAAGGGCCCAGAACCCATCTTTGTGGAAAGTCTACGGAATAAAAAAGTGTCAGATGGACGACAAAAACAGCGACAACAGCAATGAGAAGTTTCCGTCCGGTGGGGCAAGCACAGAGTCGTTAACCTTCATTAGCAACTGTGGATTTAACCGCAGCTATGCTGGAATGCACGGTAACGTCCGTTTCAGAACTGCTTGTTTTCCTGGAGAGGGCTAGGAATAATTTGCCATGCTATCCGTGCAGTCCTGACATGTGTGCCAAACTGTTACATCTCTCTGTTGCAAACAAAAACTGAAATTGCCACCTGCAGAGCTTGCGGATATCTTTGGAGTGGTTGCTGTTAATTAATTTGTGTTTGTTTGCTTTGGCCTACAGCTGCACTATATGAAAATGGAACTTTGCTGTTCACGCCAGCTATTCTGCTAATGACGTCTACTCAAAACCAGATGCGAACGCGGAGCGGGTTCACCTGCACACGCCGGAGGAGCGGAGATACAGACCTTCTGGACACAAGTTCTCATGTAATACTCGTTCAGCGTAAGTGTACAAGGACAGTGGCAAAGGACATCGTGGAAATGATGACAGAGTAAATCTAAGGTCACCGAGTGCCTCTGCTACAGCGTTCTCCAGCAAGTTCCAAACCTCTTCTTCAATGTATGACCAGTTAGGACAATTCAGTGCTGCAATGGCAAATTTGAAATAAATTTAACATCAAGCTATGCTAGACAATTATTGTTGTCCGGTTATTATTATGTGTATATTGTTGAGTAAGTTAGCTCATAGCTTCTAGTTTTGTGTCTTTCTTGTAAGGAAATCGGCAAAGGATTGAAGGAAAAAATGTATATTCCCATCCTGTCAGTATTTAGAGGTAACTAAGGAAAAGGAAGACTGCTCCGTAAGTTTCCTTTTGGGACTGCAAATTGTCCCTTATGTCACGAGACTAACACTTTACCGCCTCCAGATTGAGCGCCTCACCGTAACTAGGGAAAGAAAAAGAAAAAAGGAAAAAAATGCCCTTTCTGAAATCA